CATTGTGAATATATGTAAAATGAATGTGATAAAAAACACAATTCAAAGATTTTAGTATAAAAACTAAACAATTAAAGTGATATTCCTTTGATGTATATTCCTTTTTGCATAGCATATATTCATATATCTGCTCTATATCAAATTTAAATTATTATTAAAGTAACATTGCAACAGAAATCCTCCTCAAATTTATACTTTCCTGTGGTCACTTGAAGATGGGGGGGGGGGACTTTATCCTCTGCTCATTTTCAATAACCTTCTTTTGTCCTGTGTTTCACCCACATCTGCTAATTCTCATCTGCAGGACTTCTCAAGAGCTGCACATTTTCTCAGGCGGTTCAAGATTTCTCCATATGAAGTTTCAGTTCTGACAAATTTAATCTATGCAAATGATCCAAAAAATGAGTTGGACAAACCAAAAGTGTGAAAATGAGCCAATCAATGTACTGCAATATATATATATATATATATATATATATAATAGAATATTCCTTGCACTCACGCTTAATGTAGTCCAATATGCCTTATTAGGCTTGCCGGGTGCCAGTCTTTAGGGTCCTTAAATGTAGTAAACGAAACAAAGCAGGCTGCACTCACGGACTTCTGAATATAAAGTGTGGTTTATTCCATCCAAGAAACAAAAACGATCAACGTTTCGGTCCACGCAGGGACCTTCATCAGGATCAAACAGTGCAAATACATTCTATAACTACCTCAAATATATACCTAATAACATTAATCATGAATAACTTACCCCAGGTGATGAAAAAACTTTGCCGGCGTTTACTACTAAACACCGCGCATGTGCGTCCTACCGTGTGCCCCCACGCTGACCTCCGGTCCATGCGTGATGACGTCAAAAACGCCGTATCCATGGCAACGTTTACAACTTTCGTCATGGAGACGCTGTATCTACAGTGTAGCAAGCTATAACCTAGTAGTGAGCAAATCGTGTTTAAAACAAGAGAAAGAAAATGAAGTAAAATGTTATCTGCATATAACAAACTAAATCCACTAGGTCACCATTAGATAAGTATTGGAAACAAACCCTAAATACTATACATGATTACTTCTTCTTCTTCTTAACAGAGAGACATTTTGGATTTACAGACTGGACACAGTCTCACCAAAAGGACTCAATGAAATAATATCATACCATTCGTTCCTCTAATGCTTGCAATAATAATGTAAATAATGTCTGTATATATCATTTTTGTAAATATTAGTTGTGTACAGACAATAAGGGATGTGTTTATATAGTAGAGACATATTATAATAAGGGTTAATTTAATGAAAAATACGAACAGATATTAAGATATAGCCCTTAGTTAACTATGATTTCTTAAATATAGTTAGAATATAACACTACTCATAGTTAACCTCAGTCTATGATTATGCAAATTGGCATATCCGTTGAGTGTCTGGGCACAAGATTAGAGTCACATTGGATTTGGAATAAGGCCCCTTTAAAATCAATTCACAGAGTTAATTAGTGTTACCCATCTTTATTACTGCAATAATATTAGATTAAAGGAGAAGTCTCCAAGTGAAGGTGTAAAAGGACTAAAGAGCCCTACACCTTTAAATGTATAATAAAGGCAGTAATATATAAAGTTGGGTTCTGTCCCTTAATTTAAGGGTTAAAGGAAAAAACGTTTTACATTGGTAGGAGCCTTAATAAATCATGTATAGTATTTAGGGTTAGTGATGTACCGAACGGTTCGCCGGCGAACGGTTCCCGGCGAACATAGCATGTTCGCGTTCGCCACTGCGGGCGAACATATGCGCGGTTCGACCCGCCCCCTATTCGTCATCATTGAGTAAACTTTGACCCTGTACCTCACAGTCAGCAGACACATTCCAGCCAATTAGCAGCACACCCTCCTTAGCAGACCCTCCCACCTCCTGGAAGGCATCCATTTTAGATTCATTCTCAAGCTGCATGCTTAGTAAGAGGAGGGAAAGTATAGCTGCTGTTCATAAGATAGGGAAAAGCATAGCTAGGTTAGGGATAAGGGTATGCTTTTTTTTAATTTATTTTTTCTATGTAATGTAAATGCACTTAGTTGTCTGCCACTGCTGCCAGCTTCTGTGTCAGGCTCACAGTGCATACTGTGCCTATTTCCCCAGTCAGTGCCACCAATTACATCTGGTGTCACAATAGCTTGGATTTAAAAACAAAAAACTTTTTTCACTGTTATAGATTGAATAGCAGTCAGTGCCAGCTTCTGTGTCAGGCTCACAGTGCATACTGTGCCCATTTCCCCAGTCAGTGCCACCAATTACATCCAGCACCAATT